TTCTCTAACAATTCTTCTTGCGCCATAATCCAATTACGTAAACATTAGGTGTCCCCTCCGTATGCCACTTCGAAGACGCGACTATATGTAGTTATTTGCAAATGACTATTTAACTGTATAAAAAACAGGGTGCATGGGTTGGATAGGAAAGCTTTAAAGAGTAGAACTTTATCAAATAGAGCGAAGAAGAACTGAGCTGTGAACGCCTTTGACTAATATAATCCATCAGATAGTAGAGAAGGTTACTATATTGAAAGCAATTAATAAACAAGGTTTGAATTACCATACTTCAAGAGGTACCTTTAGGGGATGAAACCGACGTCCAATTGAACGAAAAAACAAACAACAGGGTTATTAGTTCAACTCGTCGTGTTTACCATGTCTCAAGGGATATGCGGCAATCAAACACTGTTATTGAGTGTATCTCTGAAGTTAGTCGATAGTATTTCGTAGGCAGCGTCTCATGAGATTAATAAAAAGAGAGATACATTCATTGCGTGGAGTAAATTTCAATATAAATAAAAATGAAAAGTTCCTTAGTTGTTAAATTACAATTTTAAATAGTTTTAGAAATTAGAGATTTTAATTTTAATAAGAGTGTTTATTATATCGTTATGATGTCACAATTTGCTTCGTCTACTCCAGGAGGTCCTGCAACTTCAAACTCTACCTCATACTCAAGTGATTCCATCCTACTACAGGGCCAATTTCTATTGTACGTGTTGAGTCATCTAAGAATTAACAACGGCCATTCCACTTGCTTCGTAATTTTTTTCCACTCCACTGTGTCACTCAAGTCATTACTGCTTCGAAAACGTGTAGTCTATTTTTACACAGCTGCACTCTCAGTGTGTGCTACAACTCTCCTTCATCTTCTCTTGTATGACTAATTTTTCAACGTTTATTGGTTCGCACAAAAGAGGGCCTGAATCGCTCAAAAGGGTTTCTGTGCAGGTTTTATCTGGACCGGCGCTAAAGTTAAAAGAAAATCAATTTTCTTCAGATCTTTGGCTTTTTTTTTTTTCACTTGCTTTCTGACTCATACATACATACAACACTACGCAATGAGTTTTAGGTGTTCCTCACAGAGGTGTATACGAAGCCTCTCGTCTAGTGCTACTCGATGCGAAAAGAAATTAAACAAGTATTCGTCCATTGTCACTGGTGATCCATCTCAAGGTGCATCTCAAGCGATGCTTTATGCCACTGGGTTCAGTGATGACGATTTCAATAAGGCTCAGATTGGAGTTGGGTCTGTTTGGTGGTCAGGTAACCCATGTAATATGCACTTGATGGATTTGAATAACGCATGTGCTGATTCGGTAAATAAAGCGGGGTTGAAAGCTATGCAATTTAATTCAATTGGTGTTTCTGATGGTATCACCAACGGTACTGAAGGTATGAAGTACTCCTTGCAATCGAGAGAGATTATCGCTGACTCTTTTGAAACTATGACTATGGCTCAATTATATGATGGAAATATTGCTATTCCAAGTTGTGATAAAAACATGCCGGGAGTATTGATGGCAATGGCCAGACATAATAGACCAGCAATTATGGTTTATGGTGGTACCATTTTACCAGGATCTCCAACATGCGGGGGCAGTAAGAGTAATCCAGCAATTGCCGACAAGATTGATATTATTAGTGCTTTCCAAAGTTATGGGCAGTACTTGTCTAAGCAAATTACCTTGGAAGAGAAACAAGATATTGTTCAGCATGCATGTCCTGGACCAGGTGCTTGTGGTGGTATGTACACAGCAAACACCATGGCTTCAGCAGCTGAAGTAATGGGATTGACGTTACCTTATTCGTCATCATCGCCTGCTGTTTCAAAGGAAAAAGCTGAAGAATGTGCCACAGTTGGGTATGCTTTAAAGAACTTGTTAAATAAAGATTTGAAACCAAGGGATATTATTACCAAGAAATCGTTCGAGAATGCCATTACTTATATCATCGTCACTGGTGGATCGACTAACGCCGTTTTGCATTTGATTGCAATTGCCTCTTCATTTGATATTGAACTTACTGTTGACGACTTCCAAAGAATTAGCGACTCGACTCCATTGCTTGCCGATTTCAAACCATCGGGTAAGTACGTCATGGCTGACTTACAAGCTAAAGGAGGTACACCAGCGGTTATGAAGTACTTGTTGCAAGAAGGATTGCTTGATGGATCACAGTTGACTGTTACTGGTAAGACTATTGCTGAAAACTTGGCTGATTTGCCTGGATTACCAGAAGGACAAGATATTATTCACCCCGTTTCAAACCCATTGAAACCAAGTGGCCATTTACAAATCTTAAAGGGTACTTTGGCTCCAGGATCGGCTGTTGCTAAAATCACCGGTAAAGAAGGAACCTACTTTAAAGGTAAGGCCAGAGTTTTCAATGAAGAACATGCATTTATTACTGCTTTAGAAGCAGGCGAAATCAAAAAGGGAGAAAAGACTGTTTGTGTTATTAGATACGAGGGACCAAAAGGTGGACCGGGAATGCCAGAGATGTTGAAGCCATCGAGTGCGTTGATGGGTTACGGATTAGGTCAAGATGTTGCTTTGATCACTGATGGTAGATTTTCTGGTGGATCTCATGGGTTCTTGATCGGTCATGTTGTCCCTGAAGCTGCTGAAGGTGGACCAATTGGTCTTGTTGAAGATGGCGATGAGATTGTTATTGACGCTGAGAATAATATTATTGATTTGTTGGTTTCTGAGGAGGAGTTGGCCAAGAGAAGAGAGAAATGGACTCCGCCTGAACCAAAGTACAAGAGAGGAACTTTGTTCAAGTATGCTAAACTAGTCAGTGATGCTTCAAAGGGATGCGTTACTGATATTTAAAAAACGAAAAAAAAAAAAGAAAAGAAACGAAGAAAAGGTGGTGGTGCATCAAAAACCATGTATATTTATTGTCTATATGAAAGACATTGTTTAATTCCAAAGTATATACTTTTATATCCAAGAATGGATTAATTTTTTAAAGAATAAAGTTTTGAAATGCTAGTACTGCCGATTTTGGCTATTACCTATTTTGTCCTTACTATATAATCTTCTCCCGATTTTGTAATATATCTAACCCATGGGTATGATTGGTATTGCAATTTCGGCTCATTAATTCTTAAGTATCTCACTTGTATCCCACTAGTGGTGAAATAAGGAATGGAAAAATTAACCTTGATTGGTTTTTTACTCAATATAGTTTCCGAATCATTAACTGCCGGTAATCCCAATTCAGCCCTCATGGCAAATTGTTTACCTCCAGGGAAAGTTTTCAATTTCCAAACAAGACATGATTTTTCCGGGATCCATTTCACTGAACCGTATTCTGTTTCGGTTTTAGGCGTATCGGCATCATCAGGGATGGGGATAATTACCTCGACGTTGTTTGCCGTTGACTTCTTTTTGATTTGAGCTTTAATTGTACAATTGATTTCGATTCTTGAGTGTTTGTGAATTTTCGATTTACAATTGACCAACATTAATGGTTTAGTTAGGAATTGCGCTGATGATAACCGGTATGACATTAGAGTGAATTCACCATCGGGAGGGATAAATGTAATGATTTTCTCATTTTCAAATTTTGATAAACGAACACATTGATGGAATTTGATATCTTCCATCTCAACATTCTTTTGGGTGGCGGAGGAGTTGGTGTTGGAGGACGAACTGCTGTCATCGTTACCCGTAAATAAGCCTTTATCGTTTAATCCTAATCGTAAATCGGGCATTCCACTTAAATGACTCTTGATTTTAATCTCACCAAGAATTTCACTATTCAATACTTTACCTTGTGGGGAAATCAACATGTTGATACTTTCAACCACATCCAAAAATGCTTCATTTTTCTTATAACTGATGCCGTCTTTTCTCCAACTCACTGCGTTGGTCACAGCATTGGGTGGAGCCACTAAATGGGTGGGCGTAGCTTTGATCAATGAGTAATAGTCTTGAGTAATGTATTCTTTCAAGATCTTGGTATCGGTAGTTTGTGGGATCCCGAAATCCATCATTTCATCAAGTAACTCATATATTATAACGAAATTATCTCTTATACTTTCTTCTTCCAAGGATTTGAAATATTGCGTCAATACTTCAACCAATTTCGATAGGAAAATGACCATGGTCATTATGTTTTCATTTTTCCTCGTCAATGCACAAATGTACAAGTTGTTGTGGTTGATAAAGATGTAGTTGATCCCCTGGTGGTTTATAAACGGTTTGTATTCTCCATCATCAATGGTGTTTTCCAACTCTAATAATAAAAGGGGAAACTTTTCAATTGTGGTGGAGGGAATGTCTCCTTTGTAGTCACGGGATAGTAACGGTTTGCCTTTGACATCTAGAAAGTGTATCTGTGAAGCCATTATAGGAGCTATGGGGGTGGGGGATATATGGGTAAGTGGTTGATGGGTTCTGATAGGGGTTGGGGGTAGATGAATGGTTGTGATCTGGTTTATTTGTTGACATGAAGAAGAAAAAAAAAATCGAACACCGTATGCAGTCTTTGGATTGGTAGCGCATACGCGAATGGCGGTGGTGAAGTTGAAGGAGAGACCTAAAGGAGGTGATGGGATGGACAAAGAGTTGTATTCTGTTGGGGATTGCTAATGGTTGTACTAGTAACTTTTCATTAATTTTTGGGATAGCTAGGGGCGCCTAATTCTTGGTATTCTTAAGACTTCATAATGGTAGCACTTTAGCGGTAGTTGTGAGTATCTGTATCAGAGTGGCTCTTTGATGGTAGCTGTTTACATCAGGTCTAAATTTTGAGTCTTGTGTTGTTATCAAAGGATGAGTACTTGCAAGGAGGCAAATGTTGATACTTGCCAGCAGCAAGATAGATTGAACCAATAGAGTAATATCATTTGAGAACCAATGAATTTGTGATTGGGCTAGCTAATTCCTTTTCAAGTTGGGTTCTATGTCATCCCGCATTGGCCACTGAGTTGTGATCTGGGTTGAAAAGTGTGAAACTTGGTTCTTATTTTTGTTTTTGGAAGCAAAGTTGTTGCAAAAATTGAAATTAGATCAGGCTGTCATTAGAACAAATTGATTCAGAACGTAAGTAATTTGGTAAGAGGAACTAAATATAAGCTAATAACTTTAGGACGTTGAGTATGAGTATATATATTCATAAACTATAACTACGTGGTAAAATTTGGTTACACTGTTTGTATACAGTGTTTTTATTTTTTATTCATACCAACGCGACATTTATTTTTCATACTAAAATGACTGAATTTTTCAAACTAGCGTGACATAATTTTTCATACTAAGACGACATAAAATTTCAAGCCTTACTTGTAGTGTAGCCACTGTAAATACTCCAAGCTAGTGCTTTTAGATTAAGATATAGATATAGACTTAGAATCTACATACAGACTGAATGGAGAATCCAGATACAGCCCCATTAGTATCGTGTCGCCAATAAGTCACGACAAAAAACACGACATTAGGTCATAATTTTTTTTTTTCGCTCCTATGTGACTTTGTTGCAATAATAACAGACAAATTAAATAGGAACAATAAAAGAAATGAACTTTGAACTGAAATTATATACTGACAAGTATATAGATGGACTAGGTAATTCTTTTCCTTTGGATCCAGACCTCGTGGATTTGGACTTCCAGACAGCTCCATTAGAGTCCTGTTTTTGTTACAGTGATTACAATGAAGCAGTCCCTCCAACTAAAATTGAAGCTGACAATTTACATTCCAACATGGAGTGTGATGATGTAGATGTAGACGTTAGCTCTGAACAGGATGAAACCTATAAATTTAAAAGAGGTCCATACAGATACTACTCTGAAGCTCAGAAGCAAAGATTCTGGCAACTAGTTATCGAGCAAGGGTCTTCTGCATACAGAGCTGCACAAGCACTTAATATCAGTTTACAAACAGCTTATATTTGGAAAAGAAATTGGAATCGCCTTATTGCTAACGAAGCTAATGGTATTCATGACGAACCTAAAAAGCGTGGCCGTAAACCTCTTCTCACCCAAGAGCACAAACTCTTTTTGAAGGATTTGGTTCTTTCTGACCCTACTGTTACCTTGGACTTCTTGTTGGATAAACTAAGGAGTACATTTGAAGGTGTGAAGGCAAGTATTTCTACTATTTATAACTTTCTTATCAAGGTATGCAAGTTTAGGATCTGCCAGAATTAAAACAACAGAGATTCGAGTGGGCACTTGAGAATAAGGATAAAATTGACCTTGAAAAGAACTGTCTTTTCATCGACGAGGCTGGATTCAATATCAGTATGAGACGGGAATACGGGTGGTCAAAAGTAGGTGAAAAGGTTGCACTTAAAGTCCCAGTCACCAGAGGTCTCAATGTATCATTCTTGGGTGCTATCTCTTCCAAAGGATGTATTGACTTGAAGGTGCGACTCCCAGTCGAGACTAGTCCTAACAAGAAGAGAAAAATCGATTCCACCACAGTTTCGGAAAAGAAGACAAGAGTTGGTACCACAGCTGATCATTTCTACTCATTTGTCAAGTCTGTGCTTAGAGAAATTGAAACAAACAAGACACTTCAAGAGATCAAGTATTTGATACTTGGCAACGCAGCCATCCATAAACGTCGTGACCTCAAGTTATTGGTGGCACTGAGTGGAATGGAACTAGTATTTTTGCCAGCTTACTCACCTTCATTGAATGCAATTGAAGAGTTTTGGTCAGTATGTAAGGCTAAAGTTAAGCGGTCAAACTTATCTAGAAAAGAACAATTAACTCCAAGGGTAAGAGAAGCAACAGCAAAGATGCAAATGACCATTTGCAATACTGTTTAGAGAAGAGATCTTTCTAAACTATGGGCCCTTGGGAATGGGAAGGAGTCAGCTTTTGGCTTGTGAAGATGACAGCAAAAGCCCCCAAGAGAGGCGAGTAGAAAAGGACTAAGCTCAGACAAAAAAAATTCTGATTTGATATGATTCCATACTCTTAAAATGATTGCCCTAATTCAACAGGATCCGGTTCTTCAATTGGGTTAGAGGTATGGAAATTACTTTGGGTGAGTAGGCGGTGCAAAAAAATATGTCGCACTGGTATGAAAAAATATGCTGTGTTGGTTTGAATAATAAATGTCACTTTGGTATGAACAATTATGTCGCACTAATATGAATAAAAAATAAAAAGACTGTATATCTGGGTAGCAAATATAAAAAAGTCACAAGTACAAAATTTCAATTTCGCAATAGGGATCAGAAAAATATCGCGCTTACAAAAACAATTCTGACATCTACAACTATCTGTGCGGTTGGTGCGATATTTTGATACTGTCTGCGACGATAATCATCCTTTACTGATGCGAATATTTCTTTTATATTGTGCGACATTTTTACTCCTGTACATGCGATATTTATTTTGTGAATCCGAATTTACTTCAGTTGGAGTGCGACATTTCTATTAGACAGAAGTGATATTCATTCTGAAAATACTGTACTAACTATATGGGGATGCAGCTTTCATCCAGTACAATAGACGTCTGTACATTTCCCCTATTTTTTTCTTCAAAAAATTGGAAGTGGAAGCTAAAAATAGAAAACATTGGAAAGTATCCCAGTTGGGAAATTTCCCTCACTTGAATGCAATTTCTGCATAGTCTTCCGCCTTGTATCCATACACGTGGCCTATTGTTGACCTACCAGAAATTGAGTTCTAGTATGACACCTGGCTCAAAACAACAAGCGCAAGCGGAATTCTGAAACAATAAAGGTGTCAAGGTTTCCACAAGTGATTAGGATGACC